GGGACAACTATTTGTGTGACCCACAGATAATTGTTGTCCTTCTCCAAGGACGGTTGATGTCAGGCGTATAAAGCAGGAAAAAGATTTATCCTTTTTCTTGCTACATACAGTTTCAATGGGGGCAGAGCCCGTGGAAGGTCTATCACAGTGTGCCGCGCAACAACTGCGGCTGTTTCGCGAACGGTCGGGTCCGTCCGGGTAAGTACCACGACCTCACAGAAGACTGTCGTAGCGTAGAAGTGTCATACTTCTGCGCCTGGTGAGTGAGGTAATCGCGCCCCATTTTATTAAAAGGTGGCAACTCATCTGCAACTCTACGGGTGTTGCAAATGTCCGTGGGCGGCGGTTATCACTCAACATTAGGTGAGCCGCCAGCACGATTGTCACCTTCTCAATAAAAATAATGAACTTACTGTTTAGTTGTAAGCAACTGTTCTTGTTAATGGCATGTGTATTTGGCCTAATTGGAGAGTTCGTCGTGTCGAGTCGCCCGCAATTCCACTTTGTCGGAGCAATTCGCGTAATTGACTCGAATTAATGTAAAGTCAAAATTTTCTAATGGTGATTGACGCTAGGTCTTCTAACCGACAATGATTTGCTAGCGGCCCATTGAAAGCTTTATAGAGGTCAAAGTGGTTGTTAAAGTTTTTCAGGGTTCACGTGTTTTCCGTTCCTTGCCAGAAAGGTTTTAAGAAGTCTACCGGTGGTTTTGACATTTATAAGAGCTAACGAACTAGGCTAAGAGTGGATTGACATTAATTGACTTTGACATAATAAGTACTATTGGAAGTCTACTGGTGGTGGTTTCTGATCTTTATAAGAGTTAACGAACTAGGCTAAAAGGTAGTAGTAAGTATTAAAGCTGTTAAGTCTGTTTATCCTTAGGGGTGACAGATCTCTAAGTTGATTTTCACTTAATACCTCTTATTTAATTCCAAACGTGGGGTCACAAGCCTTGCCATAAAGCTTCAAGGCACGTTACACCTTCTGTTGTTGCAAGAATGGGCAGACTCGTCCGAGGAAGTGCCACGGCGTGAAGTGGGTACTATATTATGTGATTCGTCTAATGAGTAAGGTTAAAGGTATTAAAACTTGGGAACGCATTGGTAGATCAAGGGTGTTGTAGATGTCCACGGGCAGCGGTTATCATTTAACATCAGGTGAACTGTCTCCTTGTCAGAAAAGAATGGTTTTTAATGGTTTTTTTTAAGTACACTGGATTTTGTATTTGAGTTTTTGAACTTTTTTTCGCTTAAAGTTTAACTATCAACATCATTTCAGTTTCTTTTAGTTCACTGCTGGACAAAGTCCTCACTCAGACTACCACCCGAATGTTGATGTCTCCTACTCCCCGCACATTTGTCGTTCTATAATGCGAGGCGGTTTGTTAAAAAAAATAATATTTTTGCTTATTGGGGACGTAAGACTAGGTTACGATGGAAAAATGCTAGGAAAAGAATAGATGTTTGATGGATGTTACTCAATGTACACATCGCCGGTTTACTATACATGTGGACAAGTCATTATTTAATATCGTAAAGCAAGAAATACTTTTACGAACAGAACAGAAACGACTTCTAGAAAAATTGTTAATTTTACCATTATGTGATATTGACAAAAAGATATATGTTTAACTATACCGATATTTCTGATAGTTGACACGGAATAATGATCAAACCTGATACTATAATCCAGAGAACTATATCATGTGACATTTTAAATCAATCCACTTTACGTTTATTATTTGATTGCTTTTAAATTGTACTCCGTGCCTCCAAAATTCGGGTCTATAAACCGCTAAGTGTAACATTAGGCAATATTTCACGAAACTTAAACGTTCATTTGTATTTTAATTGCTTGTTCGCATTTGTTGTTATCGCTAATCGCCGTAATCCATTATATCGTAAATTCTTAATTGTTCGTTTTTAATAGGAGTTCACGACGTAAAGTAGTAATAGGGCATGTATCTAAATTACTCATTATAGTAATATATTTTTCATCGCTAAAAAAATACAAATTAGAAAAACTTACATAATCCTGCAAAAATATTATTAACTTATTTTTAAACATTTAACGATTCCATTCATAAGAAAATTTTGTCCCTCAATATTGGCATCGGATAATTGTATGTATAATTATCTATATTTCTATGATATATCCTAAATGAATGCCTAAATTTAGCCATAAGAAATCCAAAAATCCGTAAGAGAAATGCGATAAGGAACTTTTGTCTTCATATAACACCTGAGTTTGTTATATATTCTTTTACGAAGCCGAAAATAATTTAATTAGTATATATAAAATTTAAATGGGATTATAACCCTAAAGTTAACTCGAAGCGTGAAGTTCTGTGTTTTATAACAATTTTTTATAACAAAATTTCAACCAATGCCACGAAACAGTACAATACGAGTAGATTAATGAATTAAAAATCGTAATTGGATTAATTTGTTGCGAAATCACTCGTAAACGGTTCGCCATAGCTTCAGTGGCGGGTAAATTAATAATTGCAAATGGCCGATGGTAATAATAGTAAAAGATTTCATTGATCAAATAAACGGTCCGAAGTGCTGTAACTGGAGCGAGCGATTGCAGCACGCTCGCCACGCGTTTGGAATTTGAGCGGTCATGGTCCCTACAAAGGTGGATTTCATACAGCACCTCTCGGCACCAACGCAAGAGTTTATGCGTTGCCAATAAAGTATTAGAATATGATTGGTAAAAATGGTTAGAATCACAAATTAAAAAGCTCTTATAATAACAAGCGTGAGGCCAGACAGTAATGAAAAACTTTGTTCGTTAGGTTATTTGTCCGCGTTAGAACTATTAATTAACAAAACGCCGATATAACATAGGATTTTTTTTCGGTGAAAAGTTGCCAAGCGAGCACCTGTGCTTAAATTATTACTACCTTCCGTGGACATTCACGTCTCTTGTTGATAAACTTTTGTCGTTAACGCGTTTGCAACCCCTCAGAGGTAACCAGAACCCACTGTTTATAAGAATAAACATTGGGTTTTGATCACTTAATCAGATGAGATCTGACGACACGCAAAAGTAAACTTATAGTTTAAAATGATCTTCTTCGGACGAGCTTCTCCATTCGTAAAACAGCGGGGAGGTTGTTGCATTCCCGAACCTAATAAAACCAAGCGATGAATGTTTTCATGTAAGTGTGTTTTTTCTCTTCTCACTTCATAGCGACAAAAAGCGTTCAGAGTGAAATTTGAAATGAGGGCAGTTTTTACTCGCAAGAACCTACGTTTTACTCGCTGTTTATTTATTTCTCATAACAGACTCATTGCCTTTTCGTTATGGAGTTATGCAGAAGCGTCTGATGTTGCATGAACGGGCTCCTTGGTGGTATTACCACGGCCCCGGTTGTGGGCACGAGTCCCGAGTATTCCACGGAGCGCGCTGGTCACCCTGCGCACTCGGAATAGTTCGGCGCCGATTGTCGGTGCGCGGGCGCAAAATATCGGCGCTAATTCCGTCCCGGGCAGACCGGAGTTATGCATTGTCCGGTGTCACTATACCACCGCCTCTGAATTCGGGACTAGCCGGCCGACAAGATCGGTGCGTTTCGGGATTTCGTGAAACGCGTTCAACTGCACACTTGCAAAGGGAGCGAAATTGTGTCTCGAGTATCCTCATACAGAAAACACTAGTTTTTCAATGGTTATGTTTTCAAAAATAAGAAAAAGCAAATAATGTTATTTTATTAAACCATTAATGATAACAATAAATATAGTGATTGTCAGTAGCCTATTTAGATTGACATATTATAAAGATTAGATTTGGCTAAATCTGGAGCTATTGTGCTTCAGCGTTACTTCACACGTTAGATACAGATTAGGCGACGGCGGCGTCTCGCGTATTTTTTATTGGCGACATTTGCAATAAAATCTGGAATTTATGGCGCGGATTAAGAAGTGGTATTGGCGGTAGTCACGGTCGACCGTGTCACGTTTGGGCGTTTTATGTCAACGACATAAAATAGTTTTAAGCGTTATCTATTTGTTTCGATATGTAGATATTCTTTTCGTGTGGCGTTCTATAGTAGGTACACATTAAAATACAATGTAAATGTTCCATGAATCGTAAACTTGTCCAGAACAGCTAAATCTGTAAGCATACATTTTAGTTGCTATTTTAATTTTTGTATTGGGGGTAGGAGGAGGTAAACAGCCTACGTTTACCTCCTCCTACCCCCTAACTTCTTTTTAGACATTTCTCATTCATAGATCACAAAACTCATGGTTGCAATTGCGTTGCATTTAAGAGTTCCGGTTACTTCACTCACTAGAAGAAATACAAAGGTTAATATATTTCAATTATAATGTGCTACTTCCCTGGGAATAACAACAGAAGTTGCTGTGTGACTTTACTGCAGTAAAATAAAAAAAATAACGCATGCAGTGTAGATATTGCGGATAATAATCGAAAAGAACGGCCCCAGATTAATACAGTTTTTAATACGGTTAAGCTGCTACTTTAAATTACGCTCGTCCCTCGTATCCTCGTCGTAAGTAATAATTTTCACCCTGAATACATTGGTGCTCTATTTCATATAACAAGCAGAACTTAACAGGGTGCAAGGTGATTTGTAACAATGTTTTAATATTCACATTGCTTACAGAGAGTATTGGAAAACGTCAAGTAGTTTTTTATGATACGTCAGTGATCAAGTAGTTAAAGTATTGTTAACGTTAAGATGACAAGAGAGAGAAACAGAAGAAGACATGAAAGGATGCAAAAAGACTTCTGAATTCACTGGCCTCTCCGTCACTCACAAACACTCGCACCTGATGAGGCTGAGGATATCTTCGCGCGTCACCCACTTGTGTGAACGACCCATTTTGTTTTAATATGGGGATATCTACGCATACCCGCCCTCGCTGTGGTACGGATGGATTATGACAGACTCACACAAAATAAAACCTCCTCCTCCGGACCAGTTTTGCATATCCTCGCGTACTCTGCCAACGCAGACCACCTCAACAGCCCCTCATAGGCAGCTCCTCTCCTCCAGATAAGGTGGGTAGGGTCAGTACTTCTGTCATGGCCCCTTCCGATCGTCGACCAGGGTTCTCATACCATCGACCGCAAGGGTGCACGCGAGCCGCACGAATCCAAGCCTTCTCCCATGGCCCCTTTCGCCGACCAGTGCAGCAGTTCTCATACCTAGCCGAAACGCAATCGACCGTAAGGCTGCACGCGAGCCCCGCTAAAGAAACGGCAATCTCTCCGATTACGGGAAGCTGCCGCGCTTGGAGATCAAAGACTTCACCAGCGTCTATAACGGTCTCCGGCGGCTGCCAAAAGTTCGCCGACGAAAAAGCCCGGAGGCGTCCCACTAATTGCGGAGTCCCATCTATTTCGGCGTCTACGTCACGGGGTCGACGACCCCTGTGTTATCGTACGTCGCGCAATGAGTACCCGTTTTAGAATGGGGGCCTTTGGCTGTTTGTTTTGGAGTCACGTGCTCCAATCTCGTTCTGACCGTGGGCGGAACAGCTGGTGGCGTGGCATCAGATATTTGGACCCGATATCGGAATGTAATGAACGGTTTTCAATACTCCAAACATGTTAAGACTAGGTGAAAACCGTGCAAAATTTTCGCACAGCAAAGTGACCCCTCACCGAATGATAATATAAATTTAATATAAATATTTATCTTATTTTGCCGCTCTTGCGATCTTTCATTTAAACTATTTTTCAATAGATCATACGTTGTTTATAAGAAAGTTTTATACGAGTTTTTATACGAAAATATTGACTTTTTAAAAATAATACTTATTTAAATATTAACTTTAAAATGGTGTTAAATCAGAAGATTGCCTTCCTGAGCCAATGCAAACATCGAAGTCCTGCAACTGACGAGTGGTTGACTAAGAAGTTTTCCTTCTTTCATAGAGAAGGCATTTCGCCTGATAAAGCGAACGCATTATGTTGAAGTTGTGCCATCGCCTTCTAAAATAGAAGAGAAAAGACAGCCTGTCTTAAAGCCAATAACAATAGTTTTCCTTTTGATTAGATCACCGCAGCATAGTGACTAATTTTGGGACAAACAACATTTCTCAACCTCTGTCTATCCCGATTGGTTTGTGTATATATGTAGTTAGAATATGAAAAATATGATACAGTCTTATTACAACATTTACCTATATTAATATAATCAAATTCTAGCACTATCAATAGGCAGATAATCCTGGGTAGATTCTCTAGATTTCTAGATAATAAAAGACAGTGTTCTGCGCGTCTGCATACCAGCTACATACAAGCAAGTCTTATAGATTCTTACGTGCATTATAAAGTCTCTTGTCTGTACGCATGTCTGAGGCCGGACTATTTATAATTTATCAGTATTACACATTGAGAGAGTATTAAAGATACCAGAGCAAGTTTCGTTATGTAGAAAAGTGAGACATTCACAAGGCTTCCGCGTGTGTTAAGTTTTAGCGCGTCTTTTTAGCAGCCGTTGCACACTGCGATAGACCTCCGCCACTGCCAATCAATTACCGCTCTTTTTGTTCCATTCGCCATTCGTTCCTCTGTTTTCATTCATTCAATGCTGTCGGGCCGTTCAGGCATTCCTCGGTCTAGTCGTTCTCTTCGTTTTGATATCGCTACTCAACTTATGCACACACGGTAATTTTCTCTTGCTAACTAAACTTTAAAACAAGTAATGCTTTCGTATCGATTGATTAATTTTAATTGATTCTCTTTAGATTGTGTTGAATAACTTACAATGACTACACAAATTTTGTGCGATGTTTTAAGTTTTATTTTCTTCAGAATTGAATAGCTATGTTTTACTAATTCCCACTTTCTGAAAATATGAATATTTCTTTACTTTAGTTATACAGACTACTCAAACTTTCACTGATAACTGCGTGGTTAATGGTTGAGGTAAAACTTTAATACTATAATAAATATCATTGTATCTTGTATCTTGTATTAACTGATGTTTTTGCTTTCAGTCCCGAGACTATTAAAGCTTCATCTGACGCAGAACCGGTGGGCTATCCAGAACCCACGGGTTTGGGCCCTCCGCTGTGGGTAGGGCCGCGCATGTGCTCATGCGTGCGCTTAACTACGACATGTCATCATGTCGACATGTCATGTAAAGGCCATCGAAGTTGCGGTGCGGACCGAGACCCCGATGACCGTCCACTGTGTTTTTAGCTAATCGGTGGCTGGGGGCGGTGAAAACCGCCCTGTGTAACGTGTGATTTCATCACTTTGTCTAAATTGTCGTTTTTCTAAAGACTAGGCTGCATGTCATATGAACCTTTGCCTGTTCGAAAGGACGAATATAAAAGTTAACTTCATTTGGTGGTACTTGTCATTTGAGATTGCCGCCGGTTCGAATTGACATTGGATAAATTAATTTTTGTGGATCCATTATCTTCGACTGTGCATGGCTAGAGGTTGAAATCAGAACACGTTCCTGGTCGTATTATTTGTGATTGCTGTCTGGGAAACTCTGTGCTGGATTTGTTATCCCTCGTGGTGGATGCTGAAGGCATAGGTGGCTGGCAAGCTGGTCTGAGCTGCTGCTCAATTAAATATTGTTTTTTACCTCCAGTTGGAGGTCTCCTATATACCCCCAACAGTGTGGCTGTATACACTACACTTGGCCTGGTTTTCTCTGCTGGTTCTGAGCTCAACGCTGACCTGTGCACACAGGGCAGGTGTCTCTGCGGTGACATAGATTTAAAATAACTACCTGATTGGACTTTATTTTTTAAATTGAATTGCATAACTTTCATAATCTTAAATTAATTTAATTATCTAACCTTTTTATGGTCGCACAAAGTAATGTGTAGATCCTATGTACTCACGACTCCCTGAGATACTTAATTGTATTTATTACAACAGTCTGTTTCTAACAGACAAGGCGCCCAACTCATTATTATTGTTATATTTTTTTAAATATATTGTATCTGAGCTAGTCCAGGGATTGTAACATTAAACTGAAGGGATGAACACAACTCCTTAACTGCTAATAAATCTTTTATTAAATCTCCCATCATTAACTACACTCGGAGGCGAGGGCGAACTATTTTGTTTGTTGTTACACTAGCTGTGGGTGTAGTGTTATCCGGCGGGATAATAAATATCATTAAAACGTTCCTTTCGCTAAGGACCAAACCCAAAGTGTTTATTACTCAATTTACTAACGAATGTTTGTTAGCAGCACATGTGACATAAAAAGCAATAACAATGTCATCTTAATAAGCTCCGAGACGTAACGGTCGATCGTTCACACGCAGATAACGTATTGATAAATAACTTATTTACAATCCGAGCACGTCAGTAGTTTCCGATCTTAATGATTTAATCGGATACCGCGACCCGTTCTCTCCAAGATAAACGGAGATGCAGATGGGAGAATTCGATATCGATGTATCGATACGAAAATTAATTCGGAATCGATCTTCGTAATCATTGTTATCAAATAATTTTTATTAGTGTGAACTCTCTACTAAATATCAAGCTGGCAAAGTAACGTGAAATAATAATTGAATAAAAGCAAATGCATTAAAATTAAATGCTTTTTATGTGCTATCGTACGTTCAAGTTTTAAAAAAATCTAATCAAAATAGTAACTGATAACGTTGCATGTTTTTATACGCAAATTTACTTTATCATCGGGGTCGTAAATCGACGATAGACGGCTCTTTTGAATTGGCGCGAAATGAACTTGTTCGCGAAAGCAAACAGGCCCATAAATTCGTTTTAAAAGGATTTCCGAGTTAGCACTAATACGCTCCACCCGCTACAAGGATGTTCCGCCGAATGCGTGTGCATGCGTTGCGGAGTGAGGTACGAAGCTACGGACCTTATTGTGCACTAGCAGCTGCCCGCGACTACGTCTGCGTAGAATAGGCCGAAGGCGTAACATTCAGACCGAAAGACAGATATACGCAAATTATGTACATAAATAATAGCCTATGTCTTATTCTGGTGTATAAGCTATACTGTTGTATTGTTTACTCTGCTTTTATTGCATTTTAGCAACGCTTGCCGATCTCTGTTTCCAATGAATTTAATTTAATTTTAATTAATAGTTGCCATTTAAATGGCAATTCCAATTAAATAATTCAATTCGATTTTGGCATCCAACAATCACCAATATTTATCTTCAAGCTCCGGATTTACTGGGCAAGAATAATTAGGTACACCCTTTGTAATGTAAAAATGGAGAGGAAATAAATAAAATTACGTATTTAGGAGCAAAAACACGCATGAGAAAATTGAGAATAGTCTGTGCATATCTCTTTCATTACGACATAATTCAACACTTTTAGACGACATGACTTGTATACAGATAATCAATATATGATAAAGGTTGTGATAAACTAGGGATGTCATGTGGAAAATGAAAGATTCTTGCGGTCACCACAATGTATATGTTACCTTAGCTTAATTGGCTTTCTTTTGTTTTTCAAATTTCGTCGAACCTTAAGCGATTGAATAGAATCTCAACGCGTATACAGAATTGCGCGCGTCATATTTTATCTGCATTTAGATTTCTATCGTCATAATGGCCCAATTGGATTGCGTTCAAGAATCTGCAGCCTGAACGAACCGCCATCTAGTCAGGGTATAGGCAGGGTTGACGATTAACGTAATTGTGTTCTAGAACAGAAAAGAGTGAGAAAGATTTTAGTCAAAGATATAGGCTGATTTGAGGAAATTACCCAGATAGATGAAGAGGTACTGCTTCAATGATATGCAATCTAATGCATACTAATTTACATGTATATTTTTTTTAAAACACGCGAATAAGGCAGTTCTTCATCGATGGCAAGTGGTACTTTGTACATCCGAAATGAAAGGGTGCAAATGATTAGGCAACCTTTTAATTTACGTTAAGCTTAACAAAACTACAATACCCTGTGTAAATAGAAGGCGTTTGCCTTGCAGTGGGGCATTTATGGGTTGTGACTTACTCAGGAGAGGGAATACCAAACTTTTCGGCAGTCTTATGAGGTTGTGTCAATTTCCCGGACCCCTCGGCCCTTTATGCAACTCTTAACTGCCGCACGGGCCCACTAAAGTGTGGATCCGCAAATGGTTGAACTATAGTGATTAGTAGGACCACACAACAGTCTTCGCAGTTGCACGAATGGGCAGCTCCGTCAGGGTATGTACCGCGATCTCATAGAAAACCGGCGTGAAGTGGATGTGTTTTCTGTGTTTCGTGTGGTAGTGAGGTAACCGGAGCCCATTTTATTGAATTATGGCAACGCATCTGCAACACTACTGGCTACGTGTAATGTCCTTGGGCAGCGGTTATCACTTAACATCAGGTGACCCGCCAGCTCGCTCGTCGCCTTCTCGAAATATAATAAATACTCTGGAAAAAAGTAAAAATGTTTAACTTTCAATGACCCCGCAACTTTATAAACATCAGCCGAAATAACGAATCCCAAAACGCTACGTTCCTATAATGTAACACGCGAGACGTAAATCGTGCACAATCTATGCGACGCATTCAACATAAATATATACAATTAGAATAAATTTACATATCGTACATTTTTTTTCTAGTCCAGCATTAATTAAAATTCCACGCGTTACAGTCGCCATGTCTCTTGCCGTTTTCGGACATAAATATAAATTTTTATATAAATTTTTGTCCATCACTAGTTTGCGTCCGCGTTTTCGTCACAGTTCCGATAAGAATTATTTAATTTATAAAAGAAAATAGTGGAGTACTTTTAGATGCACTTATGAAGTTCAGTAATCCCTACTACTATACTAATATTATGAAGGTGAAAGGTTCTATGTATGCATGGATGTTTGTTAATGTCTGCTACCCGCAATGGGCTCGCGATAGTCCACGCCCTAATACTCTCTATACAGACAGAGGAGCATTTGCCCAGTAGTGGGATGCTACTTTATTTTTAACTTACTATAACTTATAATCTCGTCAACAAATTAATGAAAGTAATGACTCAAAATCGCATCGACGGCACAACACTACGACACGACGACACAACACTAGATAATTTAACAACGTCAAAAACTATTATGT